TGTCAAAAACTTACTGAAATGTACAATACACTAGTTCCCAGAGTGTGTCAGAGTTCAAGGCAGCATGGGTTAGAATATTGTCTTCTGTCAAATAAACAAATAAGTGAGGGTTCAGCTAGTGCTAAGAATATTGTATCTATATGGTTGTAGAGGAACTTAAGTCAAGAGGACTTGATATAACATCTAGTTGTCCTAGGGACAGATGGTGCTAGTGTTATGACAGGCCAAAAAGGTGGAGTAGTCACATTACCTTATGAACATTCCCCAATTTAAATTGGGTACTGCAGTACTTGTCTAATTTTAACTGCTATACCTTAAAATGTGCTTATTATACAACAACTATTATTACTATGACTTTTTGGCTGTGTAGAAGTGTCCTTGTAATTCAATGAACAGCCAGAGAAGACATGTATGTGTTCTCTGCTAAAGCTAGTGATTTGAGTCAAATGGACACAAGTCGCACTAATTCCATAGTAACATGCAGCTCTATAACCTTACGCAGAGGAAAGAAGTTCACCAAAGCCAATTAAAAGAAAGCTATGAAACATAGAAGCAAGGAGGTTCGCCAGGAGCTTGATTTTCAGTCTGCCCGGCACGAAGTGGAACAGGCTCAGCTGGAAAAAGAGGAGGCAGATTCTGACGACAGAAGAGTATTGTCGGTACTGGACACCCTAACAAACGTCGTCCTAGTCAGAAATTATGTAAAGGACCTACCTACTAATATTAGTAGTGAAAAACAATGTGACACCCTCACAAGTAGGTGCTCAGAACATCTACATGTATGGTAAACAAAAGGGCCAAGATGGTCCTAGATCGCTCACCTGACCCATCGATCTCATCCGAACAATAACCTAGACAAACATCCTGACCAAGTTTGATGATAATTGAGTCGAAAATGTGACCACTAGAATGTTAACAAGGTTTTTCCATATTTGGGCGGTGTGACCTAGTTTTTCATCCAAGATGACCATGTTCGAACTTGACTCAGAAATCATCAAAACAAACTTTCAGACCAATTAACAGAATATTTGGATCACAACAGTAGCCACTAGAGTGTTAACAAGATTTTTCTATTTTTAGCTCCAGTGACCTACTTTTTCATCCGAGAGAGATGACCCATGTTCAATTTATTCTCAGCAATGACCTAGACAAGTTTCCTGACCAAGTTTGATGACAATTGAGTCAAAATTGTGACCACTAGAGTGTTAACAAGATTTTTCTATTTTAAGCTCCTGTGACCTAGTTTTTCATCCGAGATGACCCATGTTCGAACTCATCCGAGCTATCACCAAGACAAGCATCTTGATCATGTTTGATGATGATTGATGCAAAAATGTGACCGCTAGAGTGTTAACAAGATTTTTCTATTTTTAGCTCCGGTGACCTACTTTTTCATCCGAGATGACCCATGTTCGAACTCATCCGAGCTATCACCTAGAAAAGCATCCTGACCAAGTTTGATGATGATTGAGGCAAAATTGTGACCTCTAGAGTGTTAACATGGTTTTTCTATTTATAGCTCCTGTGACCTAGTTTTTCATCCGAGAGAGATGACCCATGTTCGTACTCATCCGAGCTTTCACCTAGACAAGCATCTTGACCAAGTTTGATGATGACTGATGCAAAAATGTGACCGCTAGAGTGTTAACAAGGTTTTTCTATTTTAGCTCCGGTGACCTACTTTTTTATCCGAGATGACCCATGTTCGAACTCATCCGAGCTATTACCTAGACAAGCATCTTGACCAAGTTTGATGATGATTGATGCAAAAATGTGACCGCTAGAGTGTTAACAAGGTTTTTCTATTTTTAGCTCCGGTGACCTACTTTTTCATCCGAGATGACCCATGTTCGAACTCATCCGAGCTATCAACTAGAGAAGCATCCTGACCAAGTTTGATGATGATTGGGTCAAAAATGTGACCACTAGAGTGTTCACAAGGTTTTTCTATTTTTAGCTCCTGTGACCTAGTTTTTCATCAGAGATGACCAATGTTCAAACTCATCCAAGCAATTGACTAGACAAGCATTCTGACCAAGTTTGATGATGATTGGTTCAAAAATGTGACCGCTAGAGTGTTCACAAGGTTTTTCTATTTATAGCTCCTGTGACCTAGATTTTCATCGGAGATGACCCATGTTCGAACTCATCCAAGCAATTGACTAAACAAGCATCCTGACAAAGTTTGATGATGATTGGTTCAAAAATGTGACCGCTAGAGTGTTCACAAGCAATTGTGGATGTACGACGGACGACGGACATTCACCGATCCTAAAAGCTCACCCTGAGCAAGCTCAGGTGAGCTAAAAATTACTAAAACTAAAATTAATTAAATTTAATAGGAACCCTGCTTATAACTGTAATTTTTTTAGCAACTCCAAAACAAACATTGAGGCTTGGGTAAGTGATAACAGATTAAGATTGAATTATTTAATTCAATTATGTCAGGGTGACCCTAAATATAGTAAAGAAGATTGTGTAATTTTGTCTCCAAACAAAGGCTACTTAAGGGCTAAAGAAATCTTTAAATGTAGATATGGTAAACCTCATTAAGTGGCAAGGTCTCATGTAGATAATTTGATAAATGGCAGTGCCATAAAGAATAATGACATGAAGGGACTGCATTGGCTTTTTATGTTGGTTTTAGTTTCAATGCTAGAACAACACCCACAGGAAGACCTCCGGCAACTCTATGAGCTATCAGAGAGGATAAAGAGCAGCTCCAAAGGCTTCCGGAAGCTTTTGACAGTCATTGTCATTTGGACAGGACCATGAAGGAATGAGTACAGTCAGAATCTCTGGAAGAGATCAACAGCTGCAGTCCAGCTTGTGGGTGTAGTTTGGTCATTTTGTGACCTGGAGACCTACCAGACTCCTGAAAGCATAAGGGGGTGGTCTGTCTAAGGGGTTATTCCGGTGAAGGGTATCCACCCGCAGAAAGCAATAGACAAGCAAGGGTTGTCTAAATTGTAGTCTCTCCTCGAATTGCCAGATGTAGTGGAACTTGCAAAAATTGGTCTGGATAGGAAGGCACCAGCAGTTAAGTGGGCAGACCAGATGTCCAAGTTGGAGACTGTGTTAAGGTTGTTAAAGAAAGAGCACATTCTTATGTTGCATTGCAGAGGTGTTTACCGAATTGGCGGAGGAAGCTTTCCACACTCTGCTTCTGATGCTACAATGTCATCAGTCTGTCAGTCAAACTCCTCACAGTGATTACCTCCCTTGGCAGAATTGTAATCACTGCCTTCAAAGACGTCACATGATGATGAAAGTCACATGACGTAACGTCGAAATTCAAATGTAAATATCGACCGTTACATAGAAAATCTAACGTCATTTTTCTCTTTCTGTTTTATTTTTAACTTTTAGTGCCTACGTTCGATATAGTTTATCAAAAAATTATCAAAAGTGTACAAAATAACGAAAAATAAATTCAAAAGCTAAAAAATATAAAAATATTGTCTCGGTAGAAAATATTCTCATAATTTTAAAACTATTTCTAAATATTCATATTATTTATTTATTTATCCATAAACATTGTTTAATCAATGAGAAACAACTTAACTGATAGATAAAAGCTGTAAATAAAACAATTTTTGAAAAAAAATATAGTATATCAGAAATTCTGATATATCGGGACCTTGGTGGCAGAGATCTACGCCGAAGCATTAAGGGGAGATCACTGCGTGGAGATTGTCTGTCAGTAAGGAGCAGCTGATTCATTTTCACTGTTATACAGGGTCCCTTTCTATGCTGAAGAAGTGGCTGGAGGTGTTTCCTAATACATATATAGGTTTCACTGTCATAAGCTGCTGGTCTATGGACTACCAGGAGACAGTAATTGGAGTAGAGTCTTCTAGACTCTCCTGGATACCAATGCTCCATATTTTAGTCCACCGACATGTGATAATTCTACCCCATATATGATCGGTTGCGTCATGTCGCATTTAGCCGAGACCAGAGGGACAACTTGGAGGGCATTGATCTGAGTTGTCATTGGTAAACACGCGGAGGCTGCATATTGAGAGGAAGCTGCCACTCTCAGGGGACAGTTCTGATTAAGCCTTGGGTGCTTACTTTTGGATCAATGGTTAGCCAGGCCTCAAAACATCTTAATTTAAAAAGTTTCATTGGTAAAGGACCTTGGATCCTCAATATGTGGTTACTGGTATTTAGACCGCTTAATCACAGACACAAGGGAGTGCTTTTTTAAAGGGCAAGTAGTTGCAATACCAGTACTGGTACTTAATTTCAGTCTTTGAAACATTATGACAGTATTGGCTACTACAGAAATAACATAGCTGCTTAATAATATAACATATATTTTAATTATTATCAATTAAAATTGATCCACTAAACTGTTAATATTTTTGTTAAGCATATATATGTAAATTACCTAGTCATCAATTTAATAATACCTTAATTTCAACGATAACCAGTACATTAAAATGTTTCAAAAATAAATCTTTAACAGATAAAATATTGAAAGTTTTCATTTTTTATCAAGGTTTAGTGCTATTTAAACTTAATCATCTGTTTTTCAGGTCTAGTATCAGTAAATATTTAAAGAAGAAAAGTTTCCGAGGCAACTCAAGTAGCAATTACTCTTTCTCAAATAGCACAAGAAAAACAACAAAAGTCAGCAACAAGCAGTGACAGAAAAGACCAGATCCTTAACCTCCTGTTTCAACAAAAGAGGGAAACACTTATAAAGATCACTCTTCTAAGAGAAACCACTCATTCACACCCTACACAGACGTATGTATAATGTTACGACAGAATTATTCAGCTTTTTCATAAAGCCAGAATAAATTCCTAATTCTAGTGTAAGGAAACTTTTAATGGATAGAGATATCCAAAAATCGGACAAAGACTTGAATGTAGGCAAGTATGCCTATGCAGACCTGAATAAGGTTTGTATGGTCCTCTACAAACAGGGTATATCATGGCTGCTAAAAAACTTCTCCAGCTACCACTTGACAACAAAACTATACGCCTCATGTCAGTGTTAGACCCCCATATGGTAGGACATAACAAAACAGCTGTGTCATTTAAGGACATTTCAACTTAATTACCCAATGTCCTTACACATGAAGAAAACACCAATTGTCAGTGGAAGTAGACAAGTATAATATAGACAGATACGTGGAGGATCTGTCACAAGACTACAAGGAAGATGACAGAACAGACACCATGTATTGGTCAAAGGTCTTCTCTCTTACCATTTTCAATGAAGTGCGCTACCCAATAATGCAAAAGCTTGTGAAGACTGCATTATGTATTTTCAGTGGGCCTTTGTTTGAATCATCTTTCAAAATTATGGATGATATGTGGAGAAAGACAGAAAAAGTTAACTATTGTAAATTATGAAGCAGTAGCAATAGTCAAAACTGCATTAAGGAAAAAGAATGTAAAGAGCACAGACACAATTGTTAACAACAGCATGAAATCCCTTTGCATTAATGCCTATGACACTTATAGAAAATACTTACAAAACAAAAGGTTAGAAGATTTGAAAAAACATAAAGAGAATGTAAGCACCCCTGTTCAGTTATTTAAGATGAAAAAAGCTAAAAAACTGGCAAACTTGGTAAGATTTAAAAACCAGATTGTGTCAAGAACCGGTTAGAAAAGGAAAAGTGAGGCTAATGAAAATGCTAGGAAATTGAAAAGAATAAAAACAGCTTAAAATTGTCAATATTAGTGGCACTTTAACAGGATAAAAGACAGGATATAGTTTGATATCAATAGTACTATTATTCTATTATGGTTTAGTTATTGTGAAAAGCATTAAAATAATGAAAGACAATGTAGCAAGTGATTTCAGTTTGTATATTTAAAATCTTGTGGACTGTTTTTTTAGATTAGATTTGATTAGACTTTTTAGCAAATGTCTTCATTTGTTTGTAAATACAACATGGTCAAGCTTTTGTATATGTATGTATGAATAGTTTTTACAGATGTGATTTTGTTTATTGTTTATTAAAAAACTGTTATTGAAATGGTTTAGGTTCTTATCTTAAAAATAAACCATTTTTATACAAAGTTCAAGGTACTGAAACTATTCAGTGTTAACCTGAATTTTGTAAATTGCACATTGCATATTTGTAGCCAAAATAATGACTACAATACATACATTTCTACAAAAGTATGAGTGCTGAAACTAACAAGAGGGCCATGATGGCCCTGAAGTCACTCACCTGTATATAGGCCCCCAGAGCAGGGCAAGTTTAAATATCAGGGCTTTTATTTGAACAAACTTGGTAGACATCCATTAGAAGACGTTTCATGCTAAACATCTAAGCTCTAGCTCATTGGGTTTTTATAAGAAGATTTTTTAAGTTTTTACTATACACACATAGTTAAAAACAATGACACCACTGGGGCGGGGCCAATTTTGACCCCAGGGCTTTTATTTGAACAATCTTTGTAGACACTTACTAGAAGATGTTTCATGCTTAATATCTAAACTCTAACTATTCAGGCTTTTTCAAAGTAGATTTTTTAAGTTTTTGCTATACACATATAAGGAAAATCAATGTCCCCCGGGGTGGGTCAATTTTGACCCCAGGGCTATTATTTGAACAAACTTGGTAGACACCCATTAGGACAAGTTTCATGCCTTATATCTAAACTCTAGCTATTTGAGTTTTTTCAATGAAGATTTTTAAGTTTTTACTATATGCATATAGGGAAAATCAATGACCCCCTGGGGCGGGGCCAATTTTGACCCCAGGGCTTTTATTTGAACAAACTTGGTAGACACTCACTAGAAGATGTTTCATGCTTAATATCTAAGCTCTAGCTCTTTGGGTTCTTTAAAAGAAGACTTTTTAAGTTTTTACTATATGCATATAGGGAAAATCAATGACCCCCTGGGGCGGGGCCAATTTTTACCCCAGGGATTTTATTTGAACACACTTGGTAGACACTCACTAGAAGATGTTTCATGCAAAATATCTAAGCTCTAGCTCTTTGGGTTCTTTAAAAGAAGATATTTAAAGTTTTTTCTTTTGGTTGCCATGGCAACCAGAGTTCTACATGGAATTAAATTCTTTGAACAATTTCCAAAGGTGACCACCAAAGGGACATTCCTGTTAAGTTTTGATAAATTGGCTAAGTGGTTTATGAGGAGATGTTATTTAAAGTAAAAGTTTACGGACGACGGACGGACGACTAACGAAAAGCGAGACAGGTGAGCTAAATATTCAATTTTTTTCCAACATTCAAGAGAGATAACTTTGTTCAAAATCATTGAACCACAACATTTCGAACTTGAACTGCTTATTCCTAAGATGTATGTATATGTCAAATTTGAGTTGAATGTGTTCAACCATTGGGGAGATAATGAACGGAAACTAAAAATTTCTGATTTTTTCATAGATCAAGAGGGATACCTCTGTCAGCTATCATCAAACAATGACCAAATTCGAACTTCACCAGTGTATTTTTATGACATATCCAGATGTTACAAAATTCGAGTTGAATATGTACACCTATTGGGGAGATAATGAACGGAAACTGAAAATTTCCTTTTTTTCAAAGTGAAAGGGGCATAACTCTGGGCATTCCTTTGACTTATCCATATTTCAAATTTGAGTTGAATGTGTAATACCATTGTGGAGATAGTGAACGGAAACTGAAAATTTCATCAAGGGGCATAACTCTGTCAAAAATCATTGGACCACGACCAAATTCGAACTTGACCTGTATTTTCTCATGATATATCCATATATCAAATTTGAGTTAAATGTGTGCGACGGTGTAACTAAGATAATGAACAGAAACTGTTGATGATGGAATTACAGAATGACAGAAGGACGGAATGTTGGAACAGGGCAACACTATATGCCCCAGCCATTATATAGCGTGGGCATAAAAATGTTGGTATAAAATAAAAGAGGTCATTATACACTTTTGAGAACAATACTGATTTTATTGGACTCATACACAGCTGCAAAACCTATATCAAACTCAGCTTATGCCTTGTCTTATATATGTTTTACAGCTGTGTACTTGTCCAATAGAACAATTGTACTCAATAATGTATAATAACCTAATATTACACATGATTGTAAAATATTGGCATATCTAACACCTGCTCTATACTGTTATACAAACTTTGTCTACAAACAAGAACTGTCAGAGGACAGTAACGCTTGACTATTCGAAAAGTTGTCACAAGGGTGTTTCATTGAGTATAAAATGCTTGTTATTAAGATGTTTTATCAAGTTAATCACTGCTTTATTATTATGAATGCATAAAATCACTGCTTTATTATTATGAATGCATAAAATTGTTCCAAAAAAGGCACAAACCCTTCAGTAGTTATGGAGATACAATCTTACAAACAAAAACTTAACCTAGAATTTCTAAGTCGAAAAAGGGGCATAATTATGCAAAAAATCAAATCAGAGTTATGGGACTTGTGTCAATCATCTTAGATAATCACAGAGAACAAGTGTGTGAAGTTTAAATCCATTCCCTTCTGTAGTTATGGAGATACCAGCTTACGGGAAAAAACTGAACAACAGGGACGCAGAAGCTGACAAATGGGTGATTGCATTAGCTCGATTATTATGCAAATAGTCGAGCTAAAAACATCGTTCCAACAAGAGCTGTCATTAGGACAGAGTGCTTGGCTATTCTCAGTGCTTGATAGTAAAATAAGGGCCTGGATAATGTAAGAATTAACATGAAATATGATGTTGCATGCAAAACTTTAACCTAAGTGTTACACCAATGACAACACTGACACTCAGGTGAGTAAGATGTCCATACTATTCTTGGAATAATCCAGCTAAAAAGCATTTTGGTTTTTTAAATTCATTTATAATCAGTTTATAAAACTGTTACCCTGCATCAAAACTTATCAATAGAAAATAATATGTTCTCTAGCTAATTTATATAACACGTTTGCTATTGCTAACATATTTTGCTAACCACTATTTCTTTAAAGACCCATCATGACTCAGAAATACTATCATTATTATTTCTCAAAAACTATTTTTACAGAGCAAGGTTTTCAGTAAATTTTTAAAACAATATCAATAAAAATCATACTTAATATCCTACATTACAAATATATCTAAGTTTCATAACTTACTTAATATTAATGACAAGAATTTTTCTATAAAAATTCCTTTGGTAACCAGAATTCTGCATGGAATGTGGTCTTTTAGCATCTTCTGTAAAGGACAACCAATTGATCATTCCTGTGAAGTTCTTTTATCTTTAACTTCAAATAAGAAGTTATTTAAAGAATTGTGGATACCAACAGACGAACACCAATCAGAATAAGATATTAACAGTTCCCTCTCAGCTTTACTCAGGTCAGCTTAAAATGTAGAAGTTGTTACAGCATGATCAATGAACAAAAGCATACAGACTGTCACATGACTGTCACATGACCAACCTCTAGCTAATTCTGCTTTACAACACTTCTTAGCGATAAAATCGATTCTTTAATTAGAGAGTTTAAAGGACCAGTAAAACTTTCAGTTGATATTTTAAATACAACATCTTGGTCTCTTTTTGTTTCTGTCATAGGTTTGGTGCACTTTTCCTTGTATATCTCGTACATTTCACCTGCTTGTTCTTTGAAATTTGACTTTTTGTATAGAATCTCAGAATGGAATTGTGGAAAGAGTTCATCCCCTTCAACAACTTTGTCAAAAAAGTTGTCATAATTCAAGGCATACCATACACTCAAAATAGTTGAAATATTTAAGATTGTTTTGTTATCATGAGACATAAAGATTTTCATATTACTGGACATTATCAGACTATCAAATCCAGAGTTATACATAGTTATTCGAATATCTTTACATGTTGCAATAAATGATGGTATAAAGGAACACGACAACTCTGAATTCTTGTTCACTTCTGAAAATGCATTAACAATTGTTTGTGCCAATGCCTGTGACATAGTTTGATAACCTTTTGCATCATTTTTAACAACACTATCTGACACATAACATTCATCTGAAGTTGAACTTTCTTCTTCTCCACTTTCATCCTCTGGTTCATCAATTCCATCAACTTTATTGTCTTCAGTCCCTATCTTGACTAAACATCTATTCACAAGTATATCGTCATATCCATGCCATACATCTCCATTACCTAGTTAACAGATATTCTTTGGTAAACATACATTTCCTCATAAACATACATTGTTTGGTAAACATATAATGCCTTGTAAACATACATTGCTTCATAAACAAACATTACTGAGTAAACATACATTATCTGGAAAACATACATTGCCAGGTAAACATTCATTGCCTGGTTAACATAAATTGCTTGGTAAACATACATTGGCAGGTAAACATACATTGCTTGGTAAACATACATTGCTTGGTAAACATACATTGGCAGGTAAACAAACATTGCCTGGTAAACATACATTGGCAGGTAAACAAACATTGCCTGGTAAACATACATTGCCTGGTAAACATACATTGCTAGGTAAACATACATTGCCTGGTAAACATACATTGCCTGGTAACCATACATTGCCTGGTAAAATACATTGCCTGGTAAACATACATTGCCTGGTAACCATACATTGCCTGGTAACCATACATTGCCTGGGAAACATACATTGCTAGGTTAAACATACATTGCCTGGTAAACATACATTGCCTGGTAAACATACATTGCCTGGTAACCATACATTGCCTGGTAACCATACATTGCCTGGTAAACATACATTGCTAGGTAAACATACATTGCCTGGTAAACATACATTGCCTGGTAACCATACATTGCCTGGTAAACATACATTGCCTGGTAAACATACATTGCCTGGTAACCATACATTGCCTGGTAACCATACATTGCCTGGTAACCATACATTGCCTGGGAAACATACATTGCCTGGTAAACATATTTTGTTTAGTAAACATACATGTATATTGCTTGGTACATGTAAACATAATTACAATACCTGGTGAATATACATGTATATTGATTGTTTAACATATATTGCCTGGTGAGCATAAATTGTCAAGCAAACATGTATTACCTGTTAACTTAAAAAACCTTGTAAATATTATTACCATACATAAATACTGGTAAAAATTGTATACTATTCCACAACAGATACCTTATACCCCCGTTTAAACGCCCCCGGGGGCGTTACATTTTACCAAAACAAAGTTCCCAATTTTTACCGGTCCCTTTTAAACGCCCCCTCTTCCAGCAGCTTCCAGTTACTACCTTTAAACTAACGTTTGAGTCGACCCCTGTACGTGTACACTCTATGTAAAGCTAGGTAGTGTAAATAGCCAGCGGTTTAAATCAGCTGATTCTACCTAACGGTATACACACGCTTGACACAAGTCATGTACGCATCGCATGTACAATCAAGTTATCGGATGATGTCACTGCTGCACGTGTTGCCGAAACTTAATAAAATACCGGTACATGGATTTTTTGTTCAAATTGTTGAATGTTTATTATTAAATAAGCAGTTTAAGGAAGTGTTTGTGTTTAAAATTCTGATTTTGATTTATGGTACTTGGATTATCATCAGATTAAGGTAGGACTTTTCATATTATTTTGTCAATTTCTGTTTGGAACAAAAAAAAATTTTTTTTTGCCTGAAGGGGGGGGGGGGGGGGGGGGGGTTTTATTAGAGGGGGGGCGTTTGAACGGGGGTATACGGTAATACAGAAATCTTTGTTCTAAGTTCTTGCAGCAGGTATAAATTAACAGAGAAGAAAGCATGTGTTTACGATTACCTCGCACAAACATGAGTGGGCTGTTGCTCACTTTTTTAATACTCATGACACAAAATAGACAGTGTAAAAATAGCTTACTGCAATAACAGCCCCCTAAATTTCATTATCATCCCACAACTGTCAAATGTCATTGCACTAGCACGTTGAAAGCATGACAAATCTGCTTTCTTTATACAAAAAACAAATAAATAAAACGCAAAAGAATACTTTTATACAAGAATAGTGCTTATAAATGCATATTTTTTCATGCATTAACAACAGGAGAAGCCCTTGTACTTATTAAATCCCTCACCCTGCAGGCTCTGTCTTTACATGGGTCTTCCTGATTCTGCTGATGTTAATATTTACACTAAAACAGGTGCAGTAATCCACTATTAAAGGACTATTTAGGGCTAATTACTCTGTTTTAAGGTCTAAACAATATAAATGCAACAAATAAGAGAAAAATATATATTACCAAGTGATGTATTTTGTACTGCTTCACTAATATCTTTGTTACATCTAGGACATCTTGCATTCTTTGGGAAGCCATTGATTCCAATCTTGTAACTACCAGCCAATGGTCCAAACAAGTGGGCAGCAAGAATAACTTGTATGTTGTATTTATTATATTGCTGAGTAACTAATGAAAGAAGACACTCTTCATGCTCTTCTGAAATTAAAATTACAATAATTCTAATTATTCTAAATCTTACTCTTTATGTTAAACAAACAAGAGGGCCATGATGGCCCTGAAGTCGCTCATCTGTATAAAGCCCCCCCCCCCCCCCCCCCACCGGCAGGGCCAATTTTTAACCCAAGGGCTTTTATATGAACAAACTTGGTAGACACCCATAAGAAGATGCTTCATGCTAAACATCTAAGCTCTAGCTCATTGGGTTTCTTAAAAAAAGATTTTTTAAGTTTTTACTATACACATATAGTTAATTAATGACACCCCTGGGGCAAAGCCAGTTTTGACCCCAGGGCTTTTATTTGAACAAACTTTGTAGACATTTACTAGAAGATGTTTCATGCTTAATATCTAAACTCTAGCTATTTGGGTTTTTTCAAAGAAGATTATTAAGTTTTTGCTATACACATATAAGGAAAATCAATGACCCCCAGGGCAAGGCCAATTTTGACCCCAGGGCTTTTATTTGAACATACTTGGTAGACACCCATTAGAACATGTTTCATGCTAAATATCTTAGCTCTAGCTCTTTGAGTTCTTTAAAAGAAGACTCTTTAAGTTTTTACTATATGCATATAGGGAAAATTAAATGAGCCCCTGGGACGGGGCCAATTTTGACCCCGGGGCTTTTATTTGAACAAACTTGGTGGACACTCATTAGAAGATGTTTCATGCTAAATATCTTAGCTCTAGCTCTTTGGGTTCTTTAAAAGAAGATTTTTTAAGTTTTTACTATATGCATATAGGGAAAATCAATGACCCCCTGGGGCGGGGCCAATTTTGACCCAAGGGCTTTTATTTGAACAAACTTGGTAGACACTCACTAGAAGATGTTTCATGCCAAATAACTAAGCTCTAGCTCATTGGGTTTCTTAAAAGAAGATTTTTTAAGTTTTTACTATACACATATAGTTAATAAATGACACCCCTGGGGCGGGGCCAGTTTTGACCCCAGGGCTTTTATTTGAACAAACTTTGTAGACACTTACTAGAAGATGTTTCATGCTATATATCTAAACTCTAGCTATTTGGGTTTTTTCAAAGAAGATTTTTAAGTTTTTGCTATACACATATAAGGAAAATCAATGATCCCTGGGGCGGGGCCAATTTTGACCCCAGGGCTTTTATTTGAACATACTTGGTAGACACCCATTAGAACATGTTTCATCCTAAATATCTTAGCTCTAGCTCTTTGAGTTCTTTAAAAGAAGATATTTTAAGTTTTTACTATATGCATGCATATAGGGAAAATCAATGACCCCCTGGGGCCGGGCCAATTTTGACCCCGGGGCTTTTATTTGAACAAACTTGGTAGACACTCATAAGAAGATGTTTCATGCTTAATATCTTAGCTCTAGCTCTTTGGGTTCTTTAAAAGAAGATTTTTTAAGTTTTTACTATATGCATATAGGGAAAATCAATGACCCCCTGGGGCGGGGCCAATTTGACCCCAGGGCTTTTATTTGAACAAACTTGGTAGACACTCACTAGAAGATGTTTCATGCCAAATATCTTAGCTCTAGCTCTTACGGTTTTTTAAAAGAAGATATTTAAAGTTTTTTCTTTCGGTTGCCATGGCAACCAGAGTTTGGCATGGAATTAAATTCTTTGAACAATTTTTAAAGGTGACCACCAAAGAAACATTCCTGTGAAGTTTGGATGAAATTTGCTTAGTGGTTTATGAGGAGATGTCATTTAAAGTAAAAGTTTACGGACGGACGGCTGACGGACGGACGCCAGACGAAAAGCGATCACAAAAGCTCACCCTGTCACTTTGTGACAGGTGAGCTAAAAATAAACCATACATGTAATTCTGCCCATTCTGAAAGGAAAGAATTTTTGTAAATCCTTTGACTTAAAGTAACAGTAACTTAGTAACTTGATGAAGATCCATGTTGATTAAATTAAAACAAAAAAATTTTGTTCCTGGGCACCCATTTTTATTTCCTCACATACATAAAAGTTATCATGGAATTGATTTTTTTACCATGACGTCATAGTGTCTATTCTAGAAATTCAAAAATAGGGAGGAATTTCCCCCCTCATCAAAAACAATTAGGGCGGCTTTTCAAAACAAGGGGTGCCCTGCGAGGATTTTCAAAACAAGGGGTGCCCTGCAAGTGCAACGCTTGATCAACGCCTGGTTTAGGAAAGAAATATATTATTCTTTTATAAAATGATTTGTCTGCACTCTGTAATCAACTTTCATGCGTCAACACATTCAACCAATGGTATCTTTTTAACGAAAATATTCATTAATGGCACCAAGGGTTGTCCCCATCAACTAGTCTATTTCAACGAAAATATTGATTTTATTTAGCTCACAATTACCTCCCTTTAGTTTCCAGTGTTCATGTAAACAAATAGGCCGACCAGACATTTTATGCTTTTTTAAAATTTTTATCAATTCAGATGCGGGATTGTCATGCACATGTTTCCAAAATCTGAACAATCTTTGAAAAAATAGCTTGACACCTGAAACCACGCGTCCTAGAATAGACACTGACATCATAACAGTTCAGGGATTGAATAAAAATTTCAGAACCACTCGTCCTGGGTGGTATGCTACTCGTCATGCATTTTGGGTGTGATTTTCAATATGAATTTCCCTGATGCAACAGAACCTCACCGATGCAATCGACCACTACAAATTTTCATAATCAGTTTTTTAAAACATTTTAACAAATTTAACGAACCAAAACCAGAAGCAAATCGGATTTAACTCAATACAGGATTGGAGCAGTACTTCTAGACGCTTGCAGAAATCATGATCACAAAATAGACAAATATCGTTTTTTTCGCCGATTTTTACATTTTTCCTTCATTATCTTACTTAACTCGGTGTGAAAAGATGAATTAGACCTGTTAAAGTTCATTCCGTTGGGTAAAAAGTCAAGATTTTAGCATTTTATCATTCAAGCGCCTTGTCCGGTATATACCGGAATACGGTATTTAGTGTGGTGCTCCAATCCTTTTTTTAGTCTCACTCAAGCAAATCTTGTGTTTTAGGTTATGTATAAACTGTACACTTAATAGAGCATTGTTGGGCACGTTCCAGTCACCCCCATATCCAATTAACAATAGAGCTGTCATTTATTCAGTGCAAAGCAATCAAATATATTTTGGGGGTCTGGTAATTGTGTAATTTTAAAAGTAAAATTTGTCCATCTTTAAAAGGAAATTTTTGTATTTTTCCATAAAAGGGCTTTTAAAAATTCTAAATTGTCAGCCCCTGTAAAAGCCTTAGAAATAGGCTTAAAATTTGGGGCTAATTAAATTGTGTTTTTTTAAATTTGGATATTTAAAAACAGAAAAATTTTGGTTTTTAAAGCTCATGATTGATTTTTTCAATTATTTGTCTATTTAAAAATACAATTTAACACATAAACACATGACCCATGGAAGGGTTCTAGTGGGAATGCGTTTATTCTTGAAAATCGACGAAAACAAGCTATGTCGGCCATTATGATTATTTATTCAATGTGCTTATTTAAAAACAAAAAAGATTTAATAATTTATCTTTCATACAAATAAAACAACAAATCATGATAAGCATAAATTAAAAAACAACAACATTCTAACTTTTTATTTATTATTAAATCATAATTATAACTTTGCATACACAAATGTACTAAAAGTACAGTCTTCGAAATTAACATTTTGAAGTTACTAGCCATTCGGGCCAGTAACATACCCGAAACCAACTTTATTAGCCCAAATAAATTTTTCAAATTTTGATGTATTTTTCTTATCTTTAATGCTGAAGGTAAATAAAAGAAACAAAAGGAAATCCAATATAAGTCTTGTGTCATAATTTATTTTATTGTTATTCCCTGCTGTACATGAAAATCATTTTTCACGGTTACATGTACATGTACTACGATATGGAAAACGGAACATAAACAATGTTGGTTCCCAATAAATTACTTGCTTTACATGGCTAATAGAAGTAAGCCAAGAAACAGTAGTGACGTGGCAAAAAGTGTGCGGTTGAACACCACTTTAATGAATTTCGTGATTGGAAATTTTACTCGCCAGACGGTCGAGCACAATTGGGTTTTTTAGTCGCCCGAATTTATTATTTACTCGCCAGGGCGATCGAGCGAGTGCTAATTTCGAAGACTGAATATATCATGCGTCATGTTACATTAACACTTTTCAGGGCTTGAGCTAGGTCAAAATTTTAGGGAGAAATGACTTCTCCCTCCAGCTGATTTAGGGAGAAGTGAGGAGACTTTAGGGAGAAGTTGGGAGACATATTAGGCGTCATCTGGAGAATTATAAGCTATGAAACTTTACACACCAATAAAGAAATAAGAAACACTTCTCAAATAAACAATTCTACTATAAATCTACTTTACATAAATGTATACCAATAGCAAACACAATATTACATGAGTGAAAGTTGATATTTGGAAAAGCTTGAAAACCTTTATTCATGATCATTTTCCTACATAATCTAATAGTCAAACATGATGAAATTTGTCACACAAAAAACTGAGCTTCAGGCATATGCCTGAAAACTTGCACCCATGCACATCCTGTATACATTTTGTGAGTATGTTTAGTTGGTAACAATATTCAGGGCAGAGCAGTGCCACTTGCCATTGGCAATGAGTCAGACTGGTCATCATCCACAATTTTCCTTAATTGATTTGCCCACAAGCCAGAATGTTAGAGACATTTAATTTTGTATAATCAGCGTATTAACTTTACGGAGTTCAGTGTACTAAGAAAATATAAATACAAATCTTCACATAATTTCAACAGATTAGTGCTCCGAAAAGTTTTTAACAATCGAGTTTTCGAACATATTCACACCTTTAAGATGTTGGGCAGTGTTTATCTTTACTCGTCAAAACACTGCAACAATTATCAACAATTATGTATATGCAGGTGTCTTTAATCATGCAATCGGCGACAATTGATTGAATCTGTCACCATTTTGTGTAAATGTCAACAATAAGCTGCAGTATGTTTGTGTGTCGCTGATTGGTCAATGCAAACTGTCTCAGATACAACGCGCGTTCTGATTCGACAATCGCATGAATACATAATGAGAATGATATACATAGTGAACTCTTGCCTTGCGGCGTGTATTAGACTTTGTTGATGTTGACACGCGTTTTTAACTAGCGGATTAACGGTAATTGGTTGTAATTGAGAAGTAAATAAATTGTTAACAGACCTAGCATCGTAAAAAAGTATGACAGATCACAAAAAAATCAGGCGACTTCAAAATTGCTTTGAAGTTTGTTTAAGGTGAAGTCGCTGATGCAGGGCTCACACTGGCTCAAATAAAATAATAGCCAATAATTTTAACTTAAAAAAATAATAGCCAAAAGTTCAGCGGACTATTCACGAATTAGCGATTAACAACATAAGCAGTTGATTAAATAAACATTACATAAATTTATATCTTTCAGTTTTATAAGGATTCTCAAATAAACTGATACATTTGTGTATATTGATAACTACCTTTTTTTTAAATAGAACCACAACTTTAATTGTTATTATAGAACAGAATAAAAACGTCATAATTAGTATAATTACTGTATAAGAATAATATTAAAGATTTATTATAACTTTACATAATGCCGTTATCAGACAACTTTTTTTGTTTGTTCTAATCAAATTTTGTCAGCTATAACCACTGTCAATTTCCACATTTCACACAGAACTGGAGTAGATCTAGGTCATATTAGCCTATAGAAATAACACAAGTTTGCAAACTCATTCACAGAATGCAGCCTTTTTTCTGAATAATTAACTGAAAAATATCATCATCACCAATGTAATACAAATTTACTGCCATAGTAGTAAAGATTTTTAAACAGAACATAGCTTATTTCACGTTTAAATAAATATCAAAATTATCGGTGTCGCGAAAATATGTGACAATCGGATTTTTCCTGTTTTCTGAAGAAATATTCACAATTTTGGTTGTTGTGCAAATAGTTGTTTGGAATTTAATACTTTTTAAATATTTTACCATTGTTTTCCACTGGCGATTTAGTCAAGTAGCTTAAAACAAAAAAAAAATCAAAATTTGCAATTACTGGAATTCACGGTAATTTTTAGGTAAGCCAATATCCAGTTTATCAATTTTAAAACGATTTTTGTGGCTAATTGACGGATATTTGATGGCTATTATAAATGCTGGACAATATCTTTAAAGTACTTATACAATTATACATCTCGCATGTATTTTATCACCTCGGGCATATAGTTAGCAGCACGTGACCGGTAAAAAGTTGACACTCAATTAAATGCACCCCGCTGGTGTTAATTGGGCCTTCTGCATTCATTTTCGATTTTTACACCTTATATAAACACTGTTGGAAGTAAAAAATAATCGCCAGATTTTGTAGCCAAAATGCAAAAATAATCGCCAATCTTATAAAATAATCGCAAATGGCGACTATGGCGACCGACAGCGTGAGCCCTGCTGATGCAAAGGCGACTTCTTCGCCCAAGTCGCCCCCTAGCTCAAGCCCTGTTTTACATACATGCCATAACGTCCCGGATGTCCGGGAAAGTCCCGGAAATAAGGTGTCTGTCCCAGAGGTGCCCGAAGATGTTTTTAGTCCCGGTAAAAAAAATTCTAAAATAATCTACTATGAAGCAAGAAATTTTACATTTTTATATAATTTTATTGTCAAGTTTTTATAAACTAGTCTAGAACGCTAATAATGAAAGATTATCCCCTTACAACATTGCAATGGTGACACTAATCCTTTGATTGGTATATCTATGTGCCCCTTCCAACAAACAATTATCGGCAATAATTTTGATCAATTAAAAGATTAATTATTTACCCCCTGGGGTTTCCTGAGCGAAGGTGTCATACACTGTAATTAACAACTGGCCAGTATAAATTTAATCCGTCTGCAGGCAGTTTATTAGTGGTCAAACACTGTGAAAATTACAGCTAAATATGAGGTGATGAAATCTACTGCTTCAGGTTAATGACAAGGCTAAATGTCCTTTCTTAACATAGCTTTATTCTATTCTGTGACTGATCCAATACCGGTAATATAGGTTGTATGCCACTATGTAAATTAATTAAAAAAATATGTTTGCTGATCAATGCCCCACCTCCACATGAAGTGTCCCGGAAATTAGTCTAAAATTATGGCGTGTATGACTTTTATCAAGGCGACAACGCTTGCATTTCCTTTGTTTGCATCTTTTTTACAAAAGGCAGAACATCTTTATTAAATAAACATATGCGGGTTATTCATTAAAATACTCATTTGAAAACACAAAATAAATTATGCATTAAATTTGACTACTGGCATGCGAGCAGTTCCCGTACAAAAATCGTAGTGACATAAACATTATTTTTTATTACGCTCACTCACCACAATTTGAATGTTACATATCAATATTCAGCTCGTCACACAAATTATGGAAATTCCATGATGTTCTAAACATAGAACAACCCTTAGTTATGAGGCCTCATATGGGGTACCGAAATTATCCATTTTTTTGTTTGAAGAGAAGTAGTTCCCGTACATAAAATTTAACCCATTATAATTATAAATACAAGTTTGTTATATTGGACCTATTTTTCATTTATAATTATTGAACAGAGCATTTTCTAAGAGATAACTAGATGTAATTCAGGAAATAGAGCGTAGATTAAACGCTGGTATCTATCACCCGGTACCGTTACCCCAACGCATTCACATGCAATAGCATGCTTGTATGCATGATATTTTACGCATCAAAGCCATAAAATTATTAAATATTGTAATATTGGCCAAAATTCTGATAATTAAAGAAGTTTTCATCACATTGCCTACTTATCTGTAAACAGGTGGTATCAGTGGAAAACCCTTTAACAGGCCTCACGTGTCAGTATTTTTGCGCATGCGCGCAAGGACGGAATCCCCCAGAGAAAACAAGGTCACGTTTTGACAACGCACAGGTGAAAGTGATTTAAAATGAGACTTTTTATACGTGCTGCCGAACTGACACTTAGATTTTGTCTCGTTTATGCATCTGCTTGATTTGAAATGATTTTTTGAAGAATTCAAGTAAAAATCAAGCGTTTAAATGAAAAATACGGGTACTGCTTCTGTACGGGAACTGCTCGCATACCAGTATATTAAATTTAATCTGTTAATATAATAATAAATTCATATTATTTTGAAAAGTGCCATAAGGCTAGACAAAACAGTGTATCCTGGCTAACTTTTGGCTAGCCATAAGGGCCTGTACGGCTAGCCACTCCCATTCATTTAATTTTTAAAGAACATGGATAATTAATGTTCATATCAAGTTATTTTTAGCTTGGAATTTGGTGCCAATTTATAACATTTTAGGATGAGAAAAACTTACTCATTGCAATGAAATTTTCTAATCTTAAAATATCCTCACTGGCTTCAGTTTTTCCTTGTAGGTAAGAAAGCAATTTTCTCAGACTGATGAGCTGAAAACAAGCGAGTGGAAAACCTGCACAGACAGAAAAATCGACTGTGGATTCCGGAAATCTTTTCCCTTTCGCTGAGGCATCACAAAAATTAATCAAAACTGGGCAAGCGGGATCGTAGATTGCAGCACAGTCTTTACGGTCATCATTTTCATATTTCATTAAATATTGAAGTAAACTTTCTTTTGCCGCCATTTTGAGATTGAGAAGCCAACTTATCGACGGTCACCGGTCTACGGCATTGCACGGTATCTAATGCCGGATAATTTACAGTGGCTGAGCAGCCCATGATCTGGAAGGGGGTTTCAGGATTGCCTATAGAAAAACCGAGACCACCTGTCATAAGTGTCATTAGTAAAAATTATCTAACTCCTGCACTTTGTTGCAGATTTGTTTCATGTTATATAAGTTTTTTTAGGAAATTAAAAAAGAAATAGACTTGTATTTTTTCTGACCAAGTTTCTTTTATTGTTTGATGGTTTCGGAATATTTTTTATTTACAATAACGCGTACACACTTCCTTAAATAATGATTTATTAAATCATATTAAAAGTTTATTATACAGTTACACCATATTAGTCCTCTACCGGTTACCCTCCGTAGGTCTGTCCATCCGCACTCACAGGAGAGTAATTATGTGGCTAGAGGGACAATAGGTAACTGTTCTTTCTCTTTGATGTCATTCATTCCGTAATGCTTTTATGTGGTTATTTTCTTTTGTGTGGCTAAAAAGAACAATAGGGAGAACAATAGAGTAGCCACATAATTACTGTCCTGTGAGAACGTCCGTCAGTCCGTCCGTCTGTCAGTCCGATAACTCCGTCCGTCCACAAAACTGGATCCCGCCATAACGCAAAAAGTACTGGGAATATTTTCATGAAACTTGATATATGGATAGATGGCAGTATGGAGATTATACACGTCTTTTTCTTTTCTTCCCATGTTGAAAATTCTGGTTGCTATGGCAACAAATAGACTGAAAATATTGCAAATTTTACACATAAACTGGATCCAGTGACAACGCACAAAGTACTGGAAATATTTTTATGAAACTTGACACATGGGTACATGGCAGTCTGGAGATTATGCACGTCTTTTTCTTTTCTTCCTATGTTGAAAATTCTTGTTGCTATGACAACAAATTAACTGACAATATGGCAAATTTAACACATAAACTGAATCTAGTGATAATGCAAAAAGTACTGAAAACTTGAAATATGGGTAGATGGCAGTCTGGAGATTATGCATGTCTTTTACCTTTTCTTCCGATTTTGAAAAAAAAAATTGGTTGCCATGGCAACAAATTGGCTTAAAACATGGCAAATATAACAATATTTGTAATTAGTCAAAAAGAGCTGAGTATTTTTATGAAACTTAAATTTTGGATAGATGGTAGTATGGAAATTATACACATCATTTTAATCTTGACTATAATTAAGGAGTATATTGAGAGCTGTCATACTTAACAAACGTCGGCAGCCTCGTCAAGATTTCTGATTCTAGTTTGGTTTTTTTTTGGCTTTTTCACTATATAAGTTCTTTATTTCTTAAGGTATTTATTTCAAACTTCAAATATATCTTTCAAGTCATCAACCACATCATATGTGACAAGGTTTACAACTCTAGCACAAAAATTATCAGAATTGCCTCCCTTGAACTTAGAATTTTCATGGAAAAAAAGTTTTTTTAAACTTCTTTATTGCTTAATGTATCTTCTTTACACTTCATATATATGTTTCTTATTATTACTCAAATCATTTGTGAGAAGGTCCAATACTCTAGCAAGACTATTTCTAGTATTATGTCTCCCTTGAACTTTGATTTTTTTCGAGAAATTGGTATGTTTTACTCCGACTTCTTCATTACTTATAGGATTTACTTCAAATTCCCACATCATATATGACAAGGTTTATAAATCTAGTATCCATATTTCCAGAATTATCTCCTCCTTAAACTTTGAATTTTCTTATTCATTCTTTTAACTTTCTTTTACTTCAAATTCAAAATAAACATACATTATAAACAGCTTTCATTACTAATTGTTCTTTGTTAACACTCACATCATGTATGACGTCTTGCATCTTTATTTCAAGAGTTATCTCCTCTTTAAGAATTTTGCTTTTAAAAATGTTATATTTTGGTAACAGGGATGTTTCAAAAATTAATTTTAGAGTGTCCTTCAGTCCGTCTGTCTGTCTGTTCATAAAAGCTGTTTCCTGTGATCACTTTTAAAGAACTTTTCCAACAAATCTACTTAAAATAGAGAAAAATTGAGACATTAATGAATGGCCAATGACCCTTCAGAATGCTGCTGGGGTTCTAACCGGTAGGGGACTTATGGATTGCTTGCAATAATAATTGCTTGTTTAGTATGTTTCCAAATAAAAATACATGTTTTGTTGTTTGTGTTTTTAATTTTATGTAACGTTACTTAATCTAAGTATCATAATTATTTAAACAAAGTTATTTAAACAAAGTCTTTGTTACTTGGAAACTTTGTTACTTGGAAATTCAGTATACATACAAATTAATGGTAGACAAGCGTTTCAATCCCAAAACCACGGAGAGGAACTGTTACACGAGCAATGGAGTTCTTATGATTACTTGTGATAACTGTTACGGAGTTCGTAGGAAAACTTTTGTATATATTACAAAACACTCGTCAAAAATGCTTATTTTAATCTCTAAAAAGTGGGTTTTAGGTGCTAAATTAAACTTTAATAATTAAGCTTGCCTTACATCTTGTATTATGTGTCAAAACTAATTCATAGTCCATTTTTCATCGCCTCTTGTTTAAAATCTGGTGGTTTTTTAGTAAAATTTCCAAATTATTTGCCAATTCGAACGTATTGACCTGTTTATTTCTGGTCTTCATCCTTGCCATACATAATTACCTAATTATAATGCAAAATTGCAAACATGAAGCCCCGGCTTATAAATCTATGCCCGATTTTTCAAAATGTCACTGAGTTCTTGCGATAACTCTGACGTTGTCCTAGAGTTCTTATGATAACTTGTAACAAAACGTTAATACGTTCGAATTCGCAAATAATATGGAAATTTAACTAAATACTACCAGATTTTAAACAGGAGGCGATGAAAAATGGACTATGAATTAGTTTTTGACACCAAATACAAAATGTAAGGCAAGCTTAATATTTCCCCTGGAAATATCAATTACTTCACACGCGACTCCGGAGAAATTGCAGCTCTCTCAATCAACATATATTTTTAAAGAATATTGTTCAATCGCAGCTTTGTCAGTGTGGTGAAATTGATTCAACCTACCACTAATTTTATGAATGTCAAAGATTTGATAGCATAAGACATATTCTGTTAAATACAGTATCAAATATTATAGCTCCTTCGTTAGAGATCATCTTGTTCGGAATGCAAATCAATTGAAGCAAATGAGATTATGCTTTCAGCAGTTCATAAATATATCAAACTTAGTCATGATTTATTGAAACATCATTTATTTATTATCACAGTCGTTTTTCACATTAAATTTGTATTCTCTAGAACCAGCCAAAGCAAGTCAGTTCTTAATGTACTAGGATAACGTTATAATTATAACACATCTTACCATTTATTATATATGTCTGAATATGTATGTTTCCTTAAGTTTTTTTTCTAACATATTATATGAATTCATACACATTGTCTTAGTAGATTGATGCCATCACTTTGTTGTTAATTCAAAATAGAGTCGGAGAAGAACTATATAAGATTTTATATCTTTCGCTCTAATCCATTTAAACTTTGTATATATTGAATGAATGTACATTTATATATTATGTACTGTGGATGATTATGAATAAAATATGTTTAAACTAACACATTTTATTTATGACTCGGTGGTCATGCAACTTTCTAGAGGTTGTGTTACTTACAACTATAACCTAACATTTAGGCATATACTGAACAAATATTTTTACTATAAATTATCAGAATCTCGTGTGTATTTTTATTAATTCATAGAAAAAATATGCGTTTTCTAGATGTGTCCACAACCCAATGAATTGTGAATTTATGATTTGGCTCTTATCCATAATTTAAATAATTGCACAATTCGAAACTTTCAAGGAAAGCAACAGTGTTTAAATTGATATAAAAGGGTGGTGCATGTTTTTCAGCCGTTACATAATCTTCAAATAATGTGTGCCAGGGCTTAAAATAATCTTGGATGAGCCACTTTATGTTTTTATAAAAATCATCTTAACATAATTAATATTGACAATATGAGTTTGTATGGTCCGATCAAACTATTAAAACAAGACCTTATTTCTGTCCTTAATTAATGTTTACTTTTGATTCACCAAATTTTTTTCTTCACATTACCTGGTAGGTATATTATCATAAGTAGCTGTTATTACTTTAAGAAAAATATTATATGAGCCGCGCCATGACAAAACCAACATAGTAAGTTTGCGACCAGAATGGATCCAGATCAGCATGCGCCTCCGCGCAGTCTGATCAGGATCCATGCTCTTCGCTATCAGTTTCTCTACTTGTAATAGGGTTTGTAAGCGAACAGCACGGATCCTGATCAGACTGCGCGGATGCGCAGGCTGGTCTGGATCCATGCTGGTCGCAAACGCATTATGTTGGTTTTGTCATGACGCGGCTCATATATTGTATGGTCAGTATATAATCATGTAAGTTCAACGATAAAGTACAATAAATCTGAGATTTATGACAAGGAGAATCCTTTTATCCGTTTTAACTTTCTATACATGTTCTCCACTTTTATTTTCTGTATAATATATTTAAATTATATAGAAGATTTTTTCAATAAGGTATATTTAAGAGTATTGTTACCTGAAGATAATAAAATGATCATGTCTGAAACAGTAGAGTTTAGTGAAATAAAGAATTGTTAGAAATAGACTTTGATTGGTGGAAATTAAGTGTTCATTGTAAAAATGCAGTGTTTTAATCTATAAAAAGAGGATAAACTTAAACAGTGTTAGAAATTTACTTCGGACCAATCTGTTGAAAATTCATAAAATGGAGTTGTATTTATAGTGGATATTTTAATATAGCTTTTGAAACACATTCTGGACAAGCCTTGATGACATTGAATAAACCCCCAAGAAAGCACTAATAAGATTTCTTTGCGTGTCAGTTAATCATAAAATACAATATTGCACAAGATCTAAAGAACGGGCCACACGCCTGGGGTATTACTTATTAGAATAAAGTACACATATCAACATTGGCTGATGAAATTAGAACGTCAAACAGATTACTGTCTTTACAAGAATGAATAATCATTAGAACGATACCTAGATTTAATCCAAC